ATAAGTAGGATATATACGAAAGCGCATCTGGTAAAAAAGTTGAGCTCGATGGGGCGTTATTAGTTTGTAGCATTTAGAATACAGGGAACATTATGGTTTTGGGCCCGGTTTACCCATCAGAGTGAGCTAGAATATTCTTTGAAAAACTATTGATTATATATGGTTCGATGTAGTTTGACGACTTGATTCTGAAAATCACGCTGGTTTTTCTTCAAACTGTAACACGAGTGCTTAAAGCCGGATTTCCTACCAGAAACCTCGAGTTTTTGGGCATCCTGTAAAATTACCGGGGAAAGGTTTCATGAGTTTGCGCACCTACCATAAGTAGGATATATATGTAGGAACATGGAGTAAAAATGCGCACTCGATCGGACGTTACTCCTTTGTAGCGTTTATAATATACAGAATGTTACGTTTTCAGATAGGTTTTGAAGCTAGAAATTCTTTGTTTTCTAGTCTATATTTAATTGGATTAGGATAATTTTTTCATCATAAAGCTTATAGATGAGCAAGGTTTTTTCGATAATGTTTGCTTGTGACACATTGTTTTATATTGCTGAGTGACTTGACTTTCTTCATTTATGCCGATTTCTGGGCCCAAGCCTTGTCAGGGTCTTTTCTACAGCTCTACAAAATTTTGAGAACAGCTATTTTCGCAAATAATAGATCAGACATGTATTTTTTTAACTATGCTGAATTTGATTCGCGACATCCATACATTATTTTTGTGATTTTTTTGTATAATTTTTTCCGAACGCTTACGAAATCATATCTGCGTGTATCTACACAAATGGTTCGATTCTGGAAAAGAATATTTCGTACATGTTCATCTGGCTGCCCACTGTGTATGAGTTTGCGGGTTCCCAGAAACGTGAACTCCGACTGAGTTCTCTAGAACTGAGAATCCTTCCTGAGCTTTTGGCTTTAACCATTTGGTATAGAGTTCCTCATTTTTGGGAGCTCGCTGTGTGTTCTCGTTTCTAGAAATGAAACACAAAATTGATACCTCTAGATGTTCATTGATGACCTCTTAGTTTACGCTCCCACTCCTCATAAGAAAAAATTGTGAATGAATAATTCTCTGGAGCATACAAAGAGTAGTAATTTTTTTAATTGGAAAAAACGTCTCATAACAAACAGAGTTGTTGTTTTCTATGAAAAAATCGAACGTAATCAGGAACTAGTTTTTTTTGAATTAGAATAAAGAGTGACGGAGCTCTATGTAAAAATCATCAATGTTAGATGTTTCCCAGTGTTTCACCTTATGTTTTCTGTGTGCTCGAGTGTTTGTTTACTCAACTATATTGATGATGAATATGAAACAAGGTGCAATTACTGTGTGGTTCGAAATCCAAGAGAGTTTCTAAATTTTTGGTTAAAAACGTCATTTTGAAACGAGAATGATGTAATATCTATTTTTTGAAATAAGTCGGTTGCGGAGAATGCTTATAGCTTTTGAAGGGAAAGTAATAGAGGCCTACGATTCTGAATGTTGGATAGAGGATACTGGGGTATGTACTCAAGCAAAACTATTCTTCATAATGTCACGAAATAATTGATTAAAAATTGATTGTTTTTTTTTCATCCAACTACAAATCCATTTCAAGGAAAAATAATCGAACTAATTCATCGCATATTGATTTTATTTAATCGATTCTTGATTAATCATTGATTAAAATCGTATAATTACAATTAGTTTTTAATCAATTATTTCGTGAGATTATGGAAAGTTGTTTTGCATGAATACATGCCGCAGCATTGTCTATCCAACATTCAAAATCGCAGGTCTCTATCACTTTTTCTTCAACAGCTATGAGCATTCTTCTCAGCTGACTTGTTTCAAAAAATGGTAATTACATCATTTTCGTTTAAAAATGGCGTTTTTAACCAAGAATTAAGAAAATCTCTTCGATTTCGAACTACACAGTAATTGAAATTTTGGTTTCATTTTCATCATCAATATAGTTGACTCCACAAACACTCGGGCACACAGAAAAACAGGGTGAAACAATGGCAAGTATGCACCATTGAGGATTTTTACATAGAGGTCCTTCACGTTCACTCTGTACTTGCGCCCATAGACGATTCCCTACTCTTTATTCTGTTGCAAGAAAGAACTCACTTCCTGATTAGGTGCCATTGTTTTATTAGAAAAAAAAACGACTCTAGTTATAATCAAAAGAAGTACTCATTCAAAGCTTACTCTCATGAGAGGAGAGAACGTAAAGTAAGACATCATCAATGAACATCCCTTTTTGATCTTGAGAGCTTTGAATAAAAATGTTTCAACATTTGAAATAAATTTACCAAGAAGAAAAGTAGAAACTTTGGGATGGGAAAATTTTTTAGCGTGTCGTCTTGAAAAGCCAAAAATATCAAGTGCAAAGACCGGCCATTCATTGTGCCTTACTGGTTAATATCAACAAATTAATTTCCCGTATTTAACAGTAGTTTTTACTGTTAGTATCTGTAACAGTTTGTATACATTTTCATTGAGTTTATTAAATGATATCGATAAATTTATCTCATCTATTTAACCTGAAGGCTTTTATCTTCTTTTATCATGTAGCTTTATTTTTAAAGTTATAATATATGTCAACATTTGTGGGTTAAATGAAACTTGTGGCACATTATCGTATTAAGTTGAACGTAACACAAACTATTCTTTTGTAGTAATAAACACATATCAGTTTATCTGGATACATATTTTGTTTTGACCGAATTTTGAGCAATTGAACTATAATTGGTTTCATCGTTTTCAGATTGTCGATCAGTTAGATTTGACGTTGGTATTATCAGTTATCCATGTCTTTATCAAATCGAATTAATTATTTAACATTCTTTGTGAATGGAGAAAAGATAATTGAACATAATGCTCAACCGGAATGGACTTTATTATGGTATTTAAGAAATAGTAAGTATCATCGATTCTGGAGTATCAAAAGTCGAATCGTATTACTCGAATACAAAGTAGTTATCACTTATAGAATATGCTACTAAAGGATAATGCAGAAATTTCAACCCTTCGGTGTAAACTGACGTTATCTATATGAAATAAATGCGGAGTAGGCCATAAACATCTGTAAGATTATTTGCCTTGATGCTTGTGATTGTGCACATGTATTTGACAAAAGCTTATTTTAGTTATACACTTTAACCCTTTGGCGCCGGGGCCCGTATATATGTCGGCTGAACTTTTGCTCAAATAGCTGTCGTTATAAACTCATTTAGACACGATCCAAAAGTCTTCCCTTTCTTCCTCTTACCTAGCTGACATTCTTGCGTCATCGTTCTGCAGTGCTATATATGTATTCATACTTTTTATATAACAATAAGGTTTATTCTAAACTTATTTGAACGAAAAGAAAATTTTCATGTGAAAAAAATCCCGGCGCCAAAGCGTTAAATTTTGATGCATGTTTGCGTATTCCTCCTTGAAATATACTTTTGTAAAATGCAATATAAAGTTTCGAGTTCAAAGCAAGCCGCGCTGAGCAAGAATGTAGTAAATATATCTCCTGCCTTTGGTACCTTTCCGGTTAATAAGTAAAGACATTTTTGTTGAAGCAAGAAAACCATTCATAATGTATAGAGATATTTTTCGAATTTGAAAAAAGCTCACACACAAGTATCTAGCGCTGCAAGTACAAGATATTCTACGTAAAATCATTAACTTACAATGTTTCTCATTGTTATATCTTGAGTTTCTACAGTAATCTATCCTAATCAGAGACTGAAATCCGAAATACGATTACTATGTCGTTCAAAACCAGAAGTATTTTCAAATTTTTGGTCAAAAAGCGTCGACTTTTACCCAAAAATGCTCTGTTTTGAGCGAAAAGTAGACCAATATCAGTTAAAAATGGCATTTTTTAGTCGAAAACTTCAGAATGGTAAGGGTTTTGAATAATACAGTAATCGTATTTTTGGTTCAATCTGTGATTAGGATAGATGACTGAAGAAACTCAAGATAAAACAATGGTAAGCATTGTAAGTTAATGATCCTACGTAGGGTTTCTTGTACTTGAAGTGTTAGACACTTACATGTGAGTTTTTTAAATTCGAAAAACGTCTCTATTCATTACGAATGGATTTTTCCACCAAAAAATGGCCGTTACTTATCAACCAGAGAAGTATCGAAAGCAGCGGATATGTTCTACCAAACCCTAGCTCAATGTGGCTTACTCTGAGCTTGAAACTGTGAATTGCGTTTTTTAAAAGCATATCTCAAGCAGAAAAACACAGACATGCATCAAAATGTTAAGTGTATAACTACAATGAGCTATTGTAAAGTGCACGTGCACAATTAAAATATCCGAGTAAAAAATCCTAAAGATATTTACGGCTCATTAGGTATGTATTTCATATAAATAACATTCATTTTCAGAGAGAGGTCCAAATTTTTTGGATCACCCTTTAGCTGTAATTGTACAACGTTCCGTATGTGATTTGTTATCACAGTCTATCAGAATGAAGGTAGAATGAGTTTGGAAATCTTGATGTTTATCTACACGAAAGCGTCCTCTCGAGTAGTAAATCCATGCTAGTATCGCTGAAAAGCATCTTGATTAATTACATATCAACCAATCAATCATCATAATAAAATTGGCAAAGAAGAGCCTGGTACTCAAGAACATATTAAAAGTTCATAGTAATAACATACTAATATCATGTATTACATAATACGTGTAATGCAATGTGTCTAAGACTGGTGTCACCTTCACATGATTGCATTGTTTGTTTTATTTTAGAATGTCGGCTAACCGGTTCAAAGTTGGGTTGTGGAGAAGGTCTGTAAAAAATATTACGAGATTATTCAAACACATACTAAATAATAAGCTTCAAATTTCTTCTTAGGAGGTTGTGGCGCATGCACAGTGTTAATTTCTCATTATGATCATATATCAGAAAAAATTGTTCATCGAGCTATCAATGCATGTTTGGCTTCAATTTGCTGTATCGATGGTTGTCATATAACAACTGTAGAAGGTATCAGAAGTATGAAAAGTGATTCTTTGCATTCCATACAACAACGTATTGCTGAATTTTACGGGTCGCAATGCGGCTTTTGTACACCTGGTATGGTTATGTCACTGTATGGTACATTGAATAATATTGAAAATCCAACAATGAAAGATATTGAAGATTCATTTGATGGTAATTTATGTCGTTGTACTGGTTATCGACCAATCTTAGACGCAGCAAAAACGTTTGCGTGCGATAAAAAGCCAAAGGCTAAACAACCACCCGATTGCAATAATAGTAAAGATGAAAATATCAATACTATTATAAGTACAACAGAAGACAAGTTATTAAAATATGATGATACAAAGTGTCCAGTATTAGAATTTCCACCATCGCTACTACATCACAAAGCACAATCAGTACATATCAAAGGTAATACATTTTTTTCGAGAATCCACGATTAGCGGTAATTAGATAATTCTTTTAAAAGTATGCCTCAGTTTATAGTCATGTTTGTCTTAGACCTTGAAGCTTCGTTAAAAGAAATTTAATTATCATATAAACGTAACGGTCTTGAATAAAATATACTGTTAAAGAATAAGATTGGATTTTGAAATGAAATTAAGCCCTATTTTTTCGAAGTCTCATATTATGGGTTGATATAGGTGAAGCGCAACATTTGTAATATTTTGATTTTTTGCCTAGACACCTTCTGACGGAGAAATAAACTACACTAGTTGTCTGTCTTACGCTGGTACGACTGCAGAAAGACTTATATTTCGTGTTCGACAAAGTTTCCGAAAAATATATTTTTAGTGTAGATGTCTCCATTGATGTGTAAAATTTGTCATATAGAAATGTTTAAGAATGAAAAAAAATAAAGAAAAAGACACATGAAATCAGCATAAGTTAATAGCACTATGATTACAAACATATACTTATGTAATGGTTATGAAGTGAGGTCGTTAGGATTGACATCCAAAAAGATTACATCAATCAGTTGATGTAAAAGTCATCGTTGATTACGATTAAGCTCAAAAAGTGCTAGGTGTTATGAAAAATTCGTACTGAATTCTCAAATTTTGAAGAGCACGGTGCTGAAGCAGGTAATATTCATATTTGCAAACTTCGTTGGTAGGATTTAGAATCCGACCTAAGTAACATATAACTGTGTTGTTTACATTCAAAACTTCATATTTTTGAATTTTTAGGTGAATCTGTTGAATGGTATCGTCCAATAACATTGATTGAACTTGTTTCATTAAAAAATCAGTATCCAATGGCAAAAATAGTTTCCGGTAATACAATGGTACAAATTGACAGAAAATTTAAAAATAAAAATTATTCTATTCTCATTGGTGTTTCACACATTCAAGAATTAAGTACTATAGAAAAATTAGAAAATGGCATGATCATTGGCGCTGGTATAACCATAGCGAAATTAAAAGAATGTTTGGAATTATGGTTAAAGACATTACCAACACATCAAATGAATACATGTCATGCGCTATTGAAACAATTGAATGTTTTTGGTTCGCAGCAAATTCGAAATGTGGCTACTATTGGTGGGAATATTATTCATGGATCACCAATATCCAGTTTAAATCCAATTTTACAAGCATGTGATGCGAAACTAAAATTGATCAAATATGCCAGTAATGAACAACATGAAGTAGCACTCCGAGAATTTTTCTTATCCAAGAAGGAAGTGGATATGGAACAAGACGAACTTTTATTGTCGGTTTATATTCCATTTACAGAAAAATATGAATATTTGCAATCGTACAAACAATCGCGGAGACGTAAACTTGATATTCCTATAGTTAGTTGTGGTTTCCAAGTTAAACTGAAACAAATTCAGTGTCAAATAGATGATTCCATACCAGAATTCAAATGGAAAATTCAGTCAGTATGTCTTTCGTTTGGCAGTATGGCATCGTCTACAGTTATGATGAATAAGACACAAGACTATCTCAAAGATAAGCCATGGTGTAAGCAAACAATGAAAGATGCATTAAAATGGTTACTGGATGAATTACCATTGGATGAATTTACACCGGGTGGACAACCAGAATATCGGTAAGAAAATTGAGTTTTAGACAAAACCTCATCAGCAATGGAAGCGTTTGATGCATCTAAAACATTAGTCCATTCCTTATTTTGGTCTGAAATTATCAACCATGTGCAAATTTGGACTGTCATGTCAATGAAATATGTTGCTAACTATAATGGCTATATGTCCTTCTCCAGTGGTGATTTGACAGTTTGATAGGCTCCTTCCGTCTATCAAATCTGTGCTACAATAAGTTGAAGTTTAAAGAACTACATGTCAAAAGACACTTCTTTATCTGATAATCCATATATAATTTTAACTACCTAAGGCCGAACATGAATTACCTATGGTCATTTACTTATTTTGACAAAAATCTGTTTGTCCTCAAAATCCACTAGAAAACCTTTTCAACATTTCGTCTTTATTAGTGCTATCTAATTTAGAATAGAACAGCACACACCTTCTAAATAATTCAAGAATAAAAACAGCTTATTGAGCGTAGTCAATAGCCTATATTTTCAGTTATAAACTTTTGCTGAAAAAGCTTTTTACATTAGTTTTCTCCGAAAAAATACAAAATCAGAGTCAAAGTACAGTATTTATCATTATTAGTATTGTTTTGAAAAAGTGTTCGAAATCACTTATAATCATTCGAAACAGACGTCTTTTCAAGTAACACTTATGCCAAAGGAAGGATAGCAGGCAAATCTAATGCTGTAGGAGTATTGCAAGGGAAAGGTTTTTTAAAAAACACTTGGACTTTGGATGTTACTGTTGTTCTATTACATCATACGCACAAACGGTTTTTGACATATCTGATGGAACCTGTAAAAGGCTTTTTAATGAGTTCGTCAAACTCTCAAAAGTTTTTTAGCGAGACAGAGAAAACTTCTAAATGGCTTTTCAATCGACCGATGAACCAACCAATAGGTCTCTAGAGCATCTATTCCAAAATGTTCGTGAGGAGGAAACATTTCTAATTGGTACCGTCCATTCGAGGTCATATTTGACTTATAAATAGAACTTGACGAGGCTAGAAGAATCGTAAAATGACTTGTCCCGTTAGGTTTTCCGTCCCGAATTTTGAACGTTTTACTAAATTTCTGAACTCTGGCACAGTATATATATGAAGAATAGCATTTAAAAATTTTCATCCTCAATTTTGCCTACAGTTAGGCTTCATGGCCATGACAGTTTCCGAGAAGTTTCAGTCGAACGGATGATTTCTTCTTGAGATATCGAATATTCAACAAACGATCGTATTTCTAAACACAGTCATAAAATCAACTTGTCTTCAACATTCAATATCTCGAGAAGAAAGAATCCGTTCCGCTGAAACTTCTGGAATGTTCTACGGACCGTGGAACCTAAATAGGGCAAAATTTTGGCTGAAAATTTCTTAATATGATAATTAATCAATACGATGCTAGAAGTCAAAAACTCATTGAAACGTTTATAACTCTGCAGAGAAGAGCCAAGAGGACGACTCTTTTTAAGCATCTTCTAGCCTCCCTACGTCCAACTTATGGACAAAATATGGCCTTGAATGGAAAGTATTAGCCGAGAATGTTCTCTCGTCAGGCACATTTTGAAATGAATGCGGTAGCAACCTTTTGTTGTATTCATTGGACGATTGAAAAACTATTTGGGAGTTCGATGAATCCATTAAAAAACTCTTTTGTGTGTTTCTTGGACTTATTTAAAAATTCTTTTAAAGATTTCTGAACTTTTCACGATCCCTTTGCAGAGTTTATGTACCGTTTCATTGATCCGTCTTAGAGTTATGGACCCTCTCATAAACCCTTGAAAAAAGTGTTTTTAGTTTTTAGAAATCCTTTTTGTAGAGTTTAACCCATTAAGACCCAAATTTGATTTCTCTCTTTCTCTTATGCTATACTAAGCGTATCGACGACGAGTTGAAACAACTTCTGGCATATGAGGCAAAAGTTGTGTTTTTTCAGAACTTTCTGTGTTACTTACACTCCTTTCAATGCGTTTATTCTTCTGATTACTTATCAACAAAGGTCTTCCTAAAGTTTTTCCCTTACAATAATTACCTACTAGGGATGTACTAATAGATGACACATATTCGAATGCACTAATATCAGAAGAAGTGATCTTTTTTTAATAAATGAACAAATTTACTAATGACATATTTAGACAATGCAAAGATATTCTAATCCAGTTTCTCTTTGCCTTTTGATTGATGGCATAACATTTTATTTTCCGAACAGACAAATCGATTCCTATCATATACTTATTGTATTGAATTACAAATAATGGACAAGGAATTGGCTTTCTACTCTCATCTTTACTTCTTCGACTTACTTCGCCTACAACCTTAGGATCAAAATAATTTGACGCAATAAGAACTTCTTTTTTGTTCATCCAGTTTATTACAGCTATTCCATTAGATGTCATGTATCGATAATCGTCTCTTTGAAGTTTTTCTTTTTTCTTTAGTTCAATTGGAAAGTATTTTCTATCTGAACGAATTGTATCCTTAGCTGAAACGTTTTCTTTCTTCAAATCATAAACCAATTGTAAAGAATTGAAATAACTGTCAAAAAAACAGTTAGCAATTCTTTAGGTCTACTTTATGTATTGATGTCATGACTACATGCTCTCCTAATGGTAAATATCCTTTCGTGTCTTTCTCAATATAAGTTTCAGAGTTGTATACATATCGTGCAGTTGATTCGCTCACAATCCCTACTTTGTAGCCTCACTTAGTTTGGTTCAATGGCTCGGATTGTTTTATAGAAAATCTTTCGTTGAATTTTATTATTGATTCATAGTTTTGTTGGAAATTTCTTCTCAAAAGATTTAGAAAATCATTTACTTTATATAATTTGTTATAAGTACGAGAGCCTTTTGAAGCCATTTTGGAATTATCGGCCAGATGAATATTAGAGGAAAGCCTATAAAACTCTTCTCTGGTCATTGTATTTTGCAACAACTGGTGTAAATAAGTGTCTGTTTTGGCTCCAGTAATCTCTAATTCTTGGTAACTTATGAAATTCTATAATAAATAACATGCCAAGAAATGCCAAAATTCCACTTTCGTCGACTTCCTTCCATTTTATGAAGCCGTCACCTCTTTGAATACAACGTTGTTTTGCATAAATATTTGTTTAATCTATTATTAGTTTGATCACATCTTGACTTAAAACTTGTAAAATGAGTCTATTGGTCTGATTGTTTTGCTGTTTTCTAATGCATGTCTATCAAAATAATTGAAAGAAGTTGAAAAATATAAGTTGTCCATTTCCATTTCCATTCATTTATTGAACTTTGATGAAGTTCTTCAATCACTGAAACACCAATGTCAGTATTGATGTTGCTAAGTTCATATAAATTAATCATACTTTCATTTTCATCAAATTGGCTATCATCAGAATCCGAAACCATCCTAGATTTTATCGTTTTACTTCTTATGCATCGACTTGTTTTGTTATTTTTTTTTTCTAATTTTTATATATGTCCTAGGACAGATTAAAATTCAGCGGAGATTAAAATCATTTTGATCTGTGGAAATTTTCAGAAAGTTTCTCAAATTTTGATGACTAGATAGGCCATATATCATAGCGCAATGAATTAGGATATTAAACATTTATAATTCAGGTTATGTCGTCAAACCATTTTTGGACTAAAGAAACTTGGTCTGGTACACTTTTCAATGCCATTCATACACCATATTATTAGTGCAGGCTTGTACGGCTCTCTACCGGCTTCTAAAATTTATTGAAAATATTTTCCCAGGATTCTCAAAAACTCGATGATTAGAAAATGTTCAAGAAAATCAAAAACGGTGAGATAAATCCTTCGAAGGGTTCGTGACTGGTTGCAAACTCTTAATCTCTTTTTTCGTTTTTTCAATGTACAGGTTTTTTTTACAGTATAGATTTTAATAGAACAAGAAGAGAAAAAATCAAAGAAGAACTGATTACACATTAAAAGCGTTGAATATTCTTTAAATAGGTGGTAAGAAGAAAATGTGATTATCATATTTCAAAGTAATCAGTTTTTTGAAGCTTTTGACGAAAAAGTACATTAAATAGAGTAAAGGAGGTATTCGAGGTTAGAATTTTTCTAGGCAAAATGCTGCAAAATCGACTTCACAAACATTCAATAGCATTCTATTTTAATATGCCCGGTATTGAAAAGGTCAGCTCAATGGGACAAAAATTTCGGAACATCGAGAGGTTGTAGGAGCGTAAGTTAGCAGTTAATGTTCATTCTATATGCTAAAATTCTAAGTTATGCATGAGTCGATCGAGCAAAAAATTTATGAAAATGAGATAGTTTTAAGGAATTTGAATCTTAAGTTACATTAATAGTCAAAGAAGTTCTATGTATTTAAGTTTGTCAAATTAATAGAAATTTTGTTCAATAAAAGCAGGTTTTAAAGACTCGTCTTCGTCAAACGAGAGTGTCATTCGTGTAAATGACAGCTGTTTCCGAATTAATTTCTAAAGAAGCTTTTGCCTAAATGCGATGCAAACTGAGTTCCTCACCGCAAAAGTCAACTGAACAATTACAACTAACACACGCTAAAATGTCTGAGATGGTAGAAGTTAACGTAGAAATCGCCATCACAGACAAATGATTATTTTTGTTTAACGGAAACATTTTCTTGAAGACTAATTTAAGTAAATATATCTGTAGACTCAATGCGAACCAATAAAAAAGAGCGAAAATCGAAGAATGTGATAAAGAAAAAAATCAAACCGAAGACACATCTTGAAAAATAAAAAAAAAGAAATTCATATGCGTGTAAGACTATTTAGATATTTTTATAGAATGTAGATTTTACCTATGAAAGCTGTAAATCGATTTTTTACTATTATCTATTTGTTGTAGCTTGTCTAGCAGCAAAAGTAGATTCTGTTATGAACGCATTCGGATTTTGCTAATCAAAAACATTTTTATCATACGCTCAAAAATTTTTGCTTGTCAATTTCCCAAAAAGCGATTATTTGTAAAGAGTATGCCTATCTATTATGTTTGAAGAGAAAATGATCACTAAAACACAGCCTAATAGGATACAAAAGAACTTGAGGAGACATTCATTAATGTTCTTACACATGCCAACGATGTCCTATTCATCGGTTTGCTTAGTAAGAAATAGATTTATCTATTATATAACTGTTATATGTGTATTTAGTAATAATTCATGTCTTCTTCTTTTTTGTTACTTTAGTCGCACATTAATGACATCATTTTTCTTCAAATTTTATCTATACGTAACAGAACAATTACGAAAAACATATTCTGATATTGCGGTTGATGAAATATCGTCTAATGAATTATCGATTATAAAATCATACGTTCGTGATTTATCACGCGGTGAACAAGAGTTTCAATCAAAACCGATCTCCAATCAAATTGTTGGTTCATCATTGGTACATAACAGTGCCTATTTACATGGAACAGGAGAAGCCAAATATACTTGTGATATACCAACACCTTCAGATGGACTTTATTCAGCTCTTGTTTTAAGCACGCAGCCATATGCAAAAATCGTGTCAATTGATACAACAAAAGCTGAAGAAGTGCCTGGTTTTAAAGGATTCATTAGTCATTTGGATGTATCTGGTTGTCGTATGACCGGTGATGTTGTTAATGATGAAGAAGTATTTCCATCGTCGACTGTTTACTGCATCGGTACGATAATTGGTTTGGTTATTGCTGATAGTGAAGTGCATGCACAACATGCATCAAAATTAATTGATATTAAATATGAATGTTTAAAACCATTAATATGCACGATTGATCAAGCGATTGAACAGCAATCTTATTTAGGACGAGAACTTTCTTTACAAATTGGTAATTTAGAACAAGGTTTTCAAGAATCTGACCATACATTAACCGGTGAATTTTATTTTGGTGGGCAAGAACATTTTTATTTAGAAACGAATTGTTGTTTGGCTATACCGCATGAACGTGATGAATTAGAATTACATACATCAACACAAAATGCAACTGGTGTACAAGAAAAAGTTGCCGCAGCATTAGGTAAAATTTACAAAGCCAGAACATTTACTTTAACTGAAAGATTAAAAAAAAAATAATCAAATCTTTAGAAAAATGTTAGCCAAAGCTGACGATGGAAGGTATTCTCAAGTGATAAATCGCATTTTACTTAAAAGTCATAGTTATAGGTATTCGACACTAATAATTTCGAAAATGGCAATGAAAGCTACTCTCAGATCTCTGGAGATCAGTTCCTTGGAATCTGGATCATCTAAAACAAGATGTCTTTCATTCATAATTAGATTTAGACCATGTCAGTTTATAGAGCACATTAGTTTACATATGCTGGTCATATTTTTCGACTTTCTGACATGGTCTGTACATCACCATTAACAATTTAGTTTGAATTTCTGATGAAAGATTGCAGTAAATAGGTCTTACAAGATCTATCAGCAGAATGGTGTAAAAAGTTCACCTTTGACATAAAAATGAATTCCGACAAGTTAGTAAAGCCTTCATAATTTAGCCAATTAAAATTAGTATAAACCATAGAACGTTCAATTGTTAGAGAAGAGTTCACAAAAGTAAGATAAAGTATATTTTAAAAAGCAGAATTGGTACTTAAGCTTTCTAAGAAAATCGAATATAGTTTTCCTTTGCTTTTATTTCAGATCTTTTTCATGACAGCTTGTGTTTGTATTCATTTAGACTTTTCGATTTCATCACCGCATGTTCCACGCAATCCACTTTTTTCTTTTTCTATTGTTCTATTTCCGAAATGATTATGCGCGAAACATTCTTTTTTTCAATGAAGTGACTACATGAACATGCAATCCTTTTTAAGTAAAAAAGGCTGAGGTTTGCTTAAAAATCTTGTTGTTACCGAGCGTTCAAAAGTTTTGACTTTGTCTCACAAAGATGAGATTTTAGAAGTTCAGTAGAAAAGATTTTTTTGGTAGAACTACTCTCTAGTAAAACGTGTTTTGAACACCTTTGTGAAAATTCCATTTGCCTTAGATGTTTCTTTATTCATACTTAGAGATGTTAGCCGCCATCGACCCGGCTTTGCATGAGTTTCCTTTAATCCTTTACCTCACAGCGGTTACAATATATCTAGTAATAAAATACCCATGCAAATAGAGTATTGGCCTCTCTAATATGCCACTGGTATAGGCATATCCAGTGGGTGCCCTACACCTTGTGTAGGGTGGCTTGGATTACTCCAGTGGCCATAGGGTAGACAAGAGGAGTTAAACTATTATATTGCAAGGGAAGAGATGAAGACAGAAAACCTATTTTAAAAGAACACATGTATGTTTCTCATATATTTTTAAATAAACACCTATCTTTCTTTGAACAATAATATAACCACTGAAGACATTTAATCAATGATAAATTTGATTTCCACTTCTTCTGTGACAAGATCTACAAAACACACATACACGTTACTTCTTAATTGCGCTTCGTCTGCCAGATAGTGAGTACATGTTGCATTTTGTGTCTTCCTTTTTGTACACCGCCAAGTGGAAATGATGCTTTCGAAACATATCTAATTCACTAGTAGGCTTTTTTGTCAGTCTATATTGCATAGAAAGCCCGAAAGATCTTCACTATCTGGAGATAGAGAATATTTTGTTTAAAAAAATTGAATTTATTCAAAATGATCGACTTTGTGAGCTGAATGTTTCAAAGGCGGAGCGATGAGATGAAATATTCTTTTTTGCAGTCGATAGCTCATGAAGTTTATTACAAAAAATGTTTTTGAAGTTTTGAAATTCTAAGCGTCGTTTAGTTTCTGCGATCTCCCTACTAATGTTCACTCAAATTAACATTGAGGAGTAAAGGGTTAATCAGAAAAATCCTTTACTACTTGTAAATAACTGCGACATGCAATTTCTAGAAGCATCTTTTGTATTTTACAAGAACTCTCACGAAATAAAAATATTTATTTTTCACTACTTTACTCAAGAGTACAAATATTGGCCAAAGATTTGTCCATGTATCACAAAAAAGTTTTCCATCATCTATAGAATAACAGAGTTTTATGAGAACCTTTTTAAATAGTTTTTAGAGTCGGCTAGACCATTCTGATTGAATATGAACCTGTTTTAAGGTTTGTTTTAATTCTAGTATCTTAAAGAAACAAAAGTTCATTTTCCAACAGTGAATGGATATTTCATAATTCAGACACCTTACATTTGTGCATATTAGAAGAGCTAGAAAGTTAAATTCAAAAATTTTCATAGTTGGACCTTAGTTGCTCGAAACTGTTCGACTCTATGAATCAGCAACATTTGACAGAACGCATTTTGAAATAGCAAATAATATCCGCATTCGGTTTGATTTTACAGCATTTAAAACGCTTTTTGTCTATCGACAGAAAAAAAACGGATGAAGTATATAGAATGCAAGAGCGCTTCCTCTATTCAGCAGAAAGTATTTCAGTAGGAAAATATCAGCATCAAATAAAGAAAATACTCACTCAAAAATATCATTTGACATGAGTACCAAAATCCGCTATTGGATGCAGTTTTATATTTAATTGTATACATTAAGTCTAGTAGAACATTGCATAAAGACTTCCTTCGCTATTAACTCAGCAAGTCTATGATATGAAAGCTTTATACATAATAGAAGATCGTGGTCTTATATTTCGAATAAAAAGCAATAACCGTATCTGCTCTCTCAATTCAGACTGCTTTTGATCGGAGCGAAGATGCCGGACCTGCTTTAAAACCATAGTGTTCCACACACAAACTGATACTTTTGCACTGTGTCTGGATCAAAGGTTGTAATAGTAGCTTTATTTATTGTGAGACTACAAAAAATCTTAGAATAAATACCATCGACTAACGCTATCACATCTAAATAGCGACTTTTTTGTTTCATTTCAACGTTCTGTGAAGCTTTTCTCTGCTGTACTTTAGCGCAGAGCAAAACTTTTTTATTTGATAGATAATTTTATTATGTGGATATGACAAAGCTCGAATCTTGAGATAGACTTTCCTTTACTAGATAGAGCAAGATTTTTAAAAACCTGCAAAGGCTCTTCTAGGCTTCTAAAATTGATAAAGTTTTGAAAACGCGGCTCTGCCAAGAGCTAGATATTGGTGCTTATTAATTATTAAAGTCATTTCTGGATATGCAGTCCATAGATTTTTCCAGAGGAGGATGCACCTACTATTATTACAAACCTTAACTTGGTAATAATAGTATCCCGTTATATGTTCATCGATTAACTGTTAGTTTATTGCACAGATGGATCTAATGGAGTGCTGCTGTTATAATTTCTTACTACTATACTGTTGTTTGCCCAAATTTTAGCGAAAACTGACACTACATCGAATCACAGAATATATGGATATTTTTCTACTATTCCATTTTCTAGAAAGGATAAAGTTAAATAGAAGCAAAAGTTTGGTCATTCATCCTTGTTAACTGTTACATAAAAGTATAGGATGTTTTGAATATTTGAAAAATTTAATCTTCTATCGAAATCATAAATTTCAAAGTTCATTCATACCGAACTTTGATTTTATTCACTTAACTTCTTAAAACTTTGGAAAGAGTTTTACACAACTATTTTGTTTATTTTCATAGTGCATTTTGTTTAGGTATTCCAAGTAATAAAATCGTTGTTCACGTAAAGCGTATAGGCGGTGGATTTGGTGGTAAAGATTCAATACGTCACATAAGATTATGTATTGCTGTTTCAATAGCTGCAATGAAATTAAAGCGACCAGTTCGTTTGACTCTTGATCGAAATTCCGATATGTTAATAAGTGGACAGAATCATCCATTTAAATCTTTATATAAAGTGGGCTTTACATCTTCAGGTGTATTAAAGGCATTAGATATAGTATTATACAGTAATGGTGGATGGTCTCAAGATTATTCTGTACCTATAATGGAACGTGCTTTATTACATTGTGATAATGTTTATAATTTTAAAAACCTAAAATGTTATGGACGTGTATGCAAGACAAATATCCAATCAATGACAGCATATCGTGGTTTTGGAATACCACAAGCGGTTTTTATATGTGAAGTAGTAATAGAACATGTGTCATCATATTTAAAAATAGATCCAGTAGAATTAAGACAAATAAATTTATATCAAGAAAATGATTCTACACATTTTAAACAAACATTAGTAAATTGGCATGTTCCAAAAATGTGGAATGAATTAATTAAATCATCAGAATATTATCAACGATTAGAACAAGTCAAACAATTTAATCATGAAAATCATTATCGAAAACGTGGTATAGCAATGAATCCAGCAAAACTTGGTCTTGGTTTTACACGTAAATATATGTATCAAGCTGGAGCTTTAATACATATTTATCGAGATGGTACCGTATTATTGACACATGGTGGTAGGCTGCGCTTTATTAATTTGATATCTAGTTTGAATTACATTAAAAATAGGTTTCATACTTGAATTTTATCCTCACTCTTAAGTAAAATCTAATGAACAAATTTTCATATCGACAAAGACTCGTCATTCATGTGACCGGACGGTGATTAAACATATACATGAGCAGTAAATCAAAATCTAGTTTGAGAGATGTGACTTCTGATTAAGAGTCACTTATGAAGAGGAGAGTTTTTTATTAAGGGTATTGAGACATTATAGAAGAATATATACCTCAAAACTTACCCATTAATCAAAACATTTCTTGAACATGTATATCTCCTACATACGCTGATGTAGTTAAACTTGTGAAATCAAGTCTCACTTTCATTCAGAACCTCAGAACTCGTACCTGATGGCTGAGTGGTAAACTTGAAATCGCATGAAAGATAAGTAATGGACCACTATGAATCTAGTAGTGGCGTTTGTTTTCAGGAAAGACTTCGAAACTGTGGTATAATCTGTCTTTTACGTCAGCTGCGGTTACAAGACTGTATTTCAAATCAGATTGGAAACTTCATAACTCACTCAAGTTATATTATAATGACTTCAAAATTTCAGGCTAGTCAGTATCGAAAATATTCCATATTCTATCAATAACACTCTCATGACAACAAGTGTAGCTTCTAGACAACCTTTAGAGAGAATTTTTTTCAATTTTCCGGATTTGCCCTTCCTCGACTACGCTTAGTAAACAAATTTAACAATGTCTGCAAGCTTTGGTAAAAAGTTTTAACCAAAAGTTTGAAGACTTTCTCAAAAACAAATTCTGCTACCATGTTCAGAACAGTCGATTACTTATGCTTCATGCGTTTCCAAAGCTATCTCAGTCACACATAAGCGTCCTGAAACTCCAAAAACATTAAGTACCCACGTCCAAAACGATCCCAACCAAGTGCTCACTTAACTCCTATTTCAAAAGAGACACTTTAGGTTATTCACTTAAGAGAAAAAATCAGCACATTATATCTCGAAATACTAGAAATCGAAAGTGATAATCGAGTCAATGCTAAAATCATATCTTTGGAAAATATCTTCAAACTGTTTCTCATCAAAAAACGCTTTCAATGACAAGCTATCGATTGATCCAAACAAAGTCCTCTTTTTATTTCAAATCAAAATTAATGTAAAACCTAATCAAGACCACTAGTTTTATCGACACACTGCAGAAATATAACTTACCAAGTACCATAACGAAGCTTATTATGGCCAGTTATTCTTGTTGATTTCACAAAAATCACAAAACAAGTTTCGCTTTCATAAATGCGGTTTTATCCCACAATACTCAATAAAGAAGACAAATAAAAGTATTTTATCAGAGGTTATCGATCATGAGAAGTGGCATCAATATGCACAATTATAGTCCTCTGCATATGCAATTAATATGATCAGAAAAGTATTGATCTAACTATCTAACTTCTTATTGAGTTCCAAGTAACGAACGAAAAAGAACGATCGGCTCTCAGTTCATTCTTAGTTGATTCTTACGTCGCTCCTCTTGCCTTTGAAATTACTTTCATCTTTGATTTGCATAAGAGAACTGTCCTTTTAAACAATTAACATGTCCAAGAAAATAAGATATAAATAACACAATTAGTGCTTTCTCAAGAGCAAGTAATCCAGAGTGATGACAATCAGCTGTAAATATGAATGTTAATGACTAAGAAACAATTGAATTTCGTACTAGCGACAATTCTTTATTCACGTTTCTACGTTTATTGATCCACACACCATTTTAAATTGATATTTTCTGAATTTTAGGGACAGAAATGGGTCAAGGTCTTCATGTAAAAACTATTCAAGTAGCGTCTGAAATATTACAGATTGATATTAACCTAATTCGTATTAATGAAATAGCAACGGATAAAATTCCAAATGCATCGTCGACAGCCGGTTCAGCGTCCTCAGATTTATATGGAAATGCAACAAAGAACGCATGTCAACAAATAAATGAACGATTAAAACCATTACGAGAAGAATTTCCACAATATAATTGGTTTGAATTAATAAGTACAGCATACTATAGGCGAATTAATCTATCTGCAGAAGGTTTTTATCAAACACCCCATGTTACAGATGTTGATTTTGCAAATAATTTTGCATCATATCCATATTTTACAACTGGCTGTGCTTGCTCAGAGGTTGAAATCGATACATTGACGGGCGATTTTCATATTTTAAGAACAGATATACTTATGGATTTTGGTTTATCAATGAATCCGAATATTGATATTGGGCAAATAGAAGGCGCGTTTATGCAAGGAGTAGGCATGGTTACAATGGAAGAAATAATATGGGGTGATGAGAAACACAAATGGTTAGAACCTGGCTGTTTATTCACTCAAGGACCAGGAACATATAAAATACCCTCATTTAATGATGTACCGATTGATTTTCGTATTTCTTTATTTAAAAATGCACCGAATCCATTTGCTATTTTTTCATCAAAAGGTGTTGGTGAACCAGCAATAACTTTATCAACCACTATTTTCTTTGCTATTAAAAAAGCAATTGAATCCTATCGACGTGATAATGGCTTAAGTGAATACTTTGTATTGAATAGTCCAGCAACATGCGAAAAAATACGTATGGCATGTGCAGATAATTTTACAAAAGAAGCAGTTGGCGAAGAAAAATATGAACACTTTCAACCGAACGGAAGTTATTAAACCGAACATTTGAAGCTATGGTATTATAAGTACAGTCACTTTCATAGATTTCGTGAAAAATATAGTCGCACAATAACGTCATATCTTTTTTATCTTTGATTTTCAACTCTGCAACATTGTTCTCCATTTTCCGATTAAAAAAATAAAGCAGAATTCTTTAAAATAGTGTAAGAATACAATCCGATAGAGGCTTTAGGACGCAAAAATCTAAGAGAAGTAGCTTCTATAGCTGGTTTCCTAGCAACTGCAGATATGAGTAGCCATTTGATCAATGACGAAGCCCGCAATAAGGTTATGTCACTAAAAAGTGAAAATTACTGCATCTCGTTCTGTTGTTTAGTGTCCACCCTGTCTAGTGTTCGATCTTTATTTTCGAAGGGATGATGAAGTTGATGATTAAGAAAAAGGAAAAGAGAAGAAGACGAAGAGAGGGAAAAACATCTGACTGGAATCAACCGAACCGAAAAGATAATAATAAAGCGGATGTTACTATATATTGGTGTCTACAACACAAAAGGCGACAATAACTGCGTAGAGGTAGTAGAAACATCTGATAGAGTTCTATGCATTCGAAGAGGATAATAGCAAGCGAGAAAAAGAAGATGATGATAATGAAAGTCATACGTCGAGAGAACGATAACGAACGCAAATGAAGAGAAAAACACACAAAGAACACAGACAACACCGTGAATGTGACGGCGAAAAGAGCCCACAGCACTATTCCATATCATCATTCCTTATCCATTAATCCCTATCTCTATTCGGCTATGTCTATATCCCTTGCTTAGATCTTTAGGTGCCTATTCCTAAATCCTTCAACCTCAGTCTCTCCACCATGTTTTCATCCACACTCCTATCCCAATTTCTTTTTATACTAGGTATGTAAACCCCCGGACACATTAGAAGACCCCCCACCCCTGTAGTAGAGATGACCCTCCCTTGAATCAACGAAGCGAAGGATAGTTGAGAAGACCCACCCATCTCCTCTGACGATCCCCTTAGAAGCAGGTGAGCAGGTCCTCTAATCTATCCTTTGGGTTGCTGATTCAAGAGAGGGTCATCTCGCCTATAGGGGTGGGGGTCTTCTAATGTGTCGGGGGGTTTAACAATACCAATACCATTTGGTATTGACTGATATTAGTATTGATTAGCATGGACCATTTTTTATAACGGGAATTGATTAGATTAAATTTTTATTTTCTTTTGGGGCGGTCCGAGAGCCCATATATTTGAGAAAATAGCGATTTTTTTTCTAAAGTTTGGTCAAAGGCTTTTGTAGTCGAGGAATCCGAATCTATAGGTAGTTTGTCGAAATTTTTGGCAGGTAACAGAAACCTATTTCAGGAAACAACTAAATCAGGAGAAGTTAGTCATCCTCAAACGAGAAAATCAAGTCTTCAGAGAAGTTTTGATCAAACTTCGTAGGATGTCGTTACATTCTAGTTCCATGGTAGATCCGAGTAGGATCCTATCAGGAATCATCACTTTTTTCCAAAGGAAACGCTGAATCCTGGAACAAAAGTGAAGCTACGAAAAGTTCAAGATTCTTACAGGCAGGGAAACAGGATTTCGTCAGAATCCTGAGCGATTTTTACTACATGTGAATTAGAAGTTTATCAGGATTTGGATCATTCTTGGTTGAAAAATTCCAATAACTCCCCGAATCTTCTGATTACACAATGCACTACTTGATTAGGTTCCTTGGAAGGAACTTACCAGAATATTGTCAGGATCTAATTGAGATCTTAGGAGAATCTAAACGACAGAACACTAAAGAAGTGGACACGTGTAGTATTGATCTCTAGATCTTCAGTTTATGAACTGAACACCTTACCCTACTGAATGAAGCGAACATTCGAAATGAGTACCGATCTCATTGATTCTTGATTGTCACTTTTCACACGAATCAATCAAATCATGTTGATCGAAAAAACCAAGAAAAATTGAGTTTATCAAAGTTTGTTATCAGATCATTGACATGGAACTTTAAATGTCAAATGATTGCATCAACCCATTATCTATTGATTTCTGCTTTTCCCCAGTTCGATTCGTCCACCACGCACTGATAGTGTTTGCATCTCTCAAAAATTTGTAAAATAAACGGCTACGATTTGAGTGATCAGTAAAATAAATGAGTTATCAGTAAACTGAGTGACTACTTGGAAAATTCCTTAATGGTCAGTTACTAATGAATTAGATTTTGTTAGTTAGATTTAAAAATCAGTATAGATGATAAAAAGTAACAAAATAAAAATGTTTCTCTCCTCTGAAGAGAATGTCAGTGTGAATAACAGTGACAGAGAAAAAGGAAGCGGTCTTCGTTTTTTTCAAAGATTAGGTTATTCACTGTTGATCTAAATTTTCGAGTAGTCGATAGATCCATAAATTTAAATTCACTTTCCGATATTTACATATGATCAAGCTGTTGTCGTCAAGCCAAAAAAAACTGAACTATTAATCGTCATAAATAAATGGGCAACAAATTATTTCAATCAAAATGTTGTGAATTCAAACGTATATTCAAAATATAATATGGTGATGGGCCGACCCCGATAGTGGCAAGGATATTATCATTTTTTACTAGCCAAATCAAATCACTCTGCTTGCACCAGACCTTATTAGGGAAGTCAGTCTCGTTCGCTGAAAATCTAAGTAGACAAAGTGTATCGATCATGTGCAACTACGCACAAATTTCACTGATCCATTACTGTGAGGGTCTCACCACGCTGAACACTGAACAGGGCCATGTAAGATAACACCTGTAGGATGTGCGTGTTGCTATAGGTTGATCTACCCGCACGCACACCCGGGAACACCCGTTATATAAGCATGCATTTATTAGATGTTCTAATTTTAACAATAGTAATGTATATATATGGCTCATCCTTGTAAGTTTAGAAAAATAAAGCTTTCCTAAATTATAATTTATAATTAAAATAAGTGTTCCACGCTCATTGCACCCATTTATCAGGACATTTTCATTAGAAGAAAACGTGTACTGAATATTGATGGGGTTGTGCACACAGAGAACAGCATGGGTCGCGGTTCTTCAGAGGCACTGCACGCCCTACACCGCGACGTAGAAATGAAACGTCTGCTATGCGGGCGGAAGATTCCGAAAGACAGTGAAGTAAACGAATCGCAACTGCAAATCTATGAAGGATTACAAATATTGAATTTCAATCTGAGCTATTTCATATACTTGCTTCTTAAACTAAAAGCGAGGTTGTGATCGGAAATCCTTCTCTTTTCTCCAGTAAGTTTGTTCCGATCGATAATATACAACTCCCTGTCATCGCCCATAGAAATCGTCATTGCCTAAAGCTTCATCCATACCCTGCTTGACCTTTTTAAAAACACATAAGTATATTATCCGGACTATCTCTTGCAGAAGTGAATTGCCTAAATAGAGTTACGACTATTTACATAGCACACTTATGCATGTTTGTTAGGCAGGATCATGGTAAATCGTTGCCCCAAACGCTTAGTTGAGCACATCAGGTGTGATGGATCACAGGTAAGAAAGTTTCTCTTGCATCGAAATGAAAATCGCACGAGCCTAAGACGCCACTTTTAAGACCTTACTGCTTATCTATAGCATTTCAAGTCTTGCCTTCACCATTATAGCTATTCCCTGCAACATACCAGTTGCGGCCGGTAGTAGTCAACGTGAAAGCCTTTACATCAGAGCTGATCCTTCTTCCAATCTAGCTGATACTTTTGGCAACCGAACAACGCTACAAGCGTTTCACGTGAACTGTGTAGCCTGCCAGATGATGCCTGTAGCATTCTAGGTGATGTGTAGCGTATTGAGAGATGCACTTTTTCATTGCATATTATCCTAAATCTGCAGGAGTGTGTCTTGAAATTCGAACTATAATTTATAATTCAAGGGAGCTTTTTGTTTTCCTAAACTTACAGGCTTGAGCCACTTATATAAATTATAATTTATAATTCAGAAAAAAACTGTCTCTTTTCCTGTTTTCCTAGACTAACAGAAAAGTGCAGTTTCGATTTTTTCATTTATTTTCGAATTAGTGCTTAGCACTCAATTCTTCATTTATATTCGAACTCAAATTAGGCAACTCATATGGTTACATAGGACTTTCTAAGATTGTATTGATCTATATAAATAATAAAATAAATATGACTACTGCCATAAAGGCTGCAACCTTAAATCGGAATACTTTTTTCAGGTGAATTGAATAAAAAATCTGAAGTTCACGATTCTACCGCATTAAATTATTTTAAAAACATATAAAGATAAAAGACTTACATGTACCCATTTTCCCTCCTAGTTTTCAGTCGAAAGCTCTCTGTACAGAATGCTTCGTTGTAGTTCAACCAATAATCTTACGTATAAGACTGAAATTGACTCTTGGGCTTTCGTGCGGTAATCAAAAGCTAAATCAAAGATGGGCCAGTTATCTTTTTTGCCCCAAGTTCAATCATTCCCTAGAAAATTTCAAGTCAAGTCAAATCAGCTTATCATTAAAAGAAATAAAACTTTCAAATAAAATCTCAAGGCATTTAGTTTAGCTTTTCTCAAATTTTCTGATTTACTATATGATTAATACATCGAAAATACGCCCCTGATTACATTCTAGCAATGTTAATGCTTCTTCTCTCTTGCTGAAGATTTTGGCTCTATGCTGTCGAAATAGAATACCACTTTTACAAAATATCGTTTCGACGGAGGATGACATCACAAATATCTTCAAAACCTTCCTTAGTAATTTGTTTAATGATTTGTGTTTTGTTTAGGGCCCACTTAAAATAAATTCTTTCGAATGATTATCATCATGCCTAAGAAAATTGTTCATATAACCTTAAATAAATGTAATATTATCAACATTTTGTTTTTTCAAAATTGTTTAGTGCAATATCTAAGAAAAAACTTTTGCATTTTGGTATTGATTGTTCTTAATGAGTTTTCATTGTCCACAGAATCCGCTTGAATTGTTGTTGTTGACTGATATTATGTTCCAGTATTATTAAAC